AAATGGTTTGGAGCTTTCGTGCTCGCTGCACGCGCCCCGCGGTCATTCTTGTACTTCCTGCCCTTTGATCTTGCAAGCCGGGCCGTGGACTTTAAAAAGCCCTAAAACCCGAAAGGGCGATAAAAATTGCTTCCGCACGATAATTGATGATGACCACCTCTTCCCACACCCCACCCCTAGCTCGCCGAAAAAGTGACGGCGCTATATCATCTGTCAAATTATGATTGAAACCAGTCCGATGTCCCAGTCTCTCGCGGTTCCGGCGCAAAAATTTGCTTCCCACGCTGAGAAAGATCGCCGCTGAAGTGTACTCCAACGCTCGTCTTCAAGATCGCTATCTTTGCAGTCAAAACCCCCTCTTGCCTAGCTTTTCCTTCTCGTTCTTACGTGAAAAAATGTCGCTCCTTATCTTCAGTATCTTTATCTGTCAACAGTCTATTTAGCACGAGGGAGATGAGGGAGCTTTGTGTGTGGAAAGAATAGGACTTGACAGGCTAATCGCGTACTGCCATTGGTGCTTTTGATGTCACATGTCATCTGGACGTCATTTTCGCGCGCTTTTCGCCTGACTTCATTCATTTTGTTGGTGTCAAGCAAGGCTTTGGGGTTGTGTTGTGCTGACTTCTTTGCTGAATAATAGCGGTATGTAGCCCTTAATGATCATATTTATTGTGTTATATTGCAAAGTAGATTCTTAGTAACCGAGGCAGCGAGTCTGGCATTCAAATTCCCTCGCAAACTTGTGGATTTCTGTCGTGTCAATGCCGGGTCAATGCGTCGCACTCGACCTTCGTATGGCTTCTTGCTGTGTGTTAAAGTTCCCGTCCCTAAAGTTTTCTTCACTCCTCATGATAAAGTGTCCGTACTGCCTCATACTTAATTATGAATTCTCAAACAATGTTTCCGATTCTAACTGCAACTCGTCTAAAACATATCGTTATGCCGTGGTCTGCTGATGTTCACCTTGAATTTTCCTTGAATGAAAACTGACGTCACCTTGTAGTATTTTAGTGTGAAGCATGTCGATGTTTTCGACCATTTCTGATTGAATAGTTTCGTGAGAAATCCTCTAAATGAACAGAGTTCTAGTTTGCATGTTTTATGGTTACTTGATGTATGCGGAATTCCCTCGCTGATTTGCTGCCAAATATGAAAACAACGTGTAGGTGTTATCTGATATGCCACAAATTTTGTATTTGTGGACACGTGCAACCACTAGCGGATCTTAGATAAAGGGCACAGGGGGACCCTCTCCTCTTTACAGGCAAAAATTTTAGGCCTACAGGGTGTGGTTCCAGAAAATATCCATACCCAGCCCATGGAAGGTCATTGGAAAGGCCAGGGGGTGGTCTCAACAGCCAATTATATAAGGGAAAGTTTGAGGGTTTGAGGGGGGTGGGTTCAAATGAAGAAACCTTCTGTGGGGGAGGTATAGATATTTTCCTGTACCACACTTTTTTAGACCCAAAGGGTCAGAAGCCATCAAGTTGTGCTTCGCATGGGAAGTTTGGCAGGCATGAAAGAAGCACAAGAGTTGCTCGTAACTGTCAGCTTGTGCTGTTAACATGCTCCATTGGATTATGGAGAATGCTTACATGTACTGATTTTGATTGGGCAAATCTGTTAGCTATGTTCTAATTTCTTAAAACCAAGGTACCCTGTCATAAAAAAATTTAAGGCTGAGAGAGCAAAATTTAATAACTCCACTGAAATTTTAGTAAAAGCAATAATTTTATTCTTTCCTAAAGGGGCTGTAATGGTCATGGTCATGCACGAGCAGTTGATATAGCTGATACAATCAAATGTGTTCAAGCATAGCCAACCCACTAAGTTTTTTTACATCTTTTTGACAAGTTTTTGATTAGTTTTGTAACCATTCAATTTCATTTGCATATCAAACGCAGAAGGCTTGAAATCAAAGTTTAAGTACAACAGAATTCCGGAAAAACCTTTTGCTATGTAAAAAGTTAAATTTGACCAAAGTTTGGGCAGGAATAAAATCCCGCCTAAATCCAACTTGGACATTTGATAAACAAACATGCAACGTTTTCCATCACATGTTCATGCTTGTTCTGAAAATATGTTTGGCCCGTTTCAAACTGGAAGCCATTAGACTAATCAAAAATGTGTCAAGTAAAACAGATGTCAAAAGCTTATTTGGGTGGCTACGCTTGGGCACTTTTGACTGTAAACACCACAAAATAATATCGGATCACAGTTCACGGAAAACAAAATCATTGGCATGTCTTCTTCAGACTCATAATTTCACACATGTTGATTCGCTCAGAAAAAAGTACGTATTTTCAGTGAAGCGCAAGCATCTTTTTGACATTCACATTTAATGGATTTTATTCTGTCAAGTTGATGTAGAACAAAAAGATACCATCACGTAATTTCACAAGAAAGTGAAACCCCTTTATATGGCCTATGTCTTATTTTGTTGTCAGGGTTCTATCTAGGGTATTTGAGGGGTAGAAGCTTCCCCTGCAAAATGCCCAGCTTCCCCCCAAAAATATTGTTATCATTACAGTATAAAGTAACTATATCGGAAAAATCATCCAGCGCGATGAGGTCAGTGCACATTATTTTCTCAAAATTGGGTCTCAAAATGCACCAGATTGCATCTCAGCGCATATTCATTTCAAAAAATTTCCAGGGGAGCATGCCCCCCCCACCCCCCTAGGAAGCTCGTGGCCTTCGGTTGCTAGGGACTTCTCCCCCAAACGATAAATCCCGGATAGAACCCTGGTTGTGACTGATAATTTGAACACAAAAATATCAACTAAGTTTGTACAAGTTATGGAAAACCAGGATTATTAAATATTTTACTTTAATATATTTTCCAGGCCTCAAAAGTCTTATAATGTGCATGTAGGTGTGGGTTATGGAAAAGTCAGCTATATTTTCCTCTCAGTTGAATTAATACAAGACGCACAAGTGTAAAATTTGGTCTGTGAAGTAAAATTACCACATTTTGATTTGACATGACAAAAACTGAACTGAAAACTTGAATCAGGGTTTGTCTAATTTTCTATTAGGGTTACTACAGGTCATGGAAAACGTGGAAAGTCATGGAATTTTATGATGTCAATTTACCAGGCATGGAAAGTCATGGAATTTAGGTTTGGGTCATGAAAAGTCATTGGAGAATGATACTGATTGCAGAAAATAACCAAGTTAGGCAGGTTTTCTTGCCAATTAAAACAATTAAAATTTAATGGAGATGATGATGATGATAATTTTTTGGAAAATTTCTGACTAGGAAAATGGTCTGATTTAGGTCATAGAAAACTTTGAAAAGTCATGGAATTTCAAAAGCCCAAAAGAGTACAAACTTTATCTATTTAGTTTGTGCTCATGCCACAAATATTAATATTTATTTATTTTCTGTGTTGTAATTTAACTGTAGGCCAAGATGGCAGCAGATCTCCAGCATCTTGATGACATGTTGTTTTCCCCCATACCGCCGATCGACATAGTAAAAAAAGAACCAGAAACTTTGCCAGAAGAAGAGCTTGATAGGCTTACAGATCTTATTCAAGGCAACACAAATTTTCCTGGAGACTTCTCTTGCTCAGGTTGGTCAACCATGCTCAAATCTGATTGCCTTTGAGTTGCAAGTGGGCTGGGGGGAAGGGGTAAATCAGTGAGGAGGATGTGCCCTTCCTCCCCCCCTTCCCCCCCAAAAAACAACTTATTTCCATCTCAGGAATGCATCACCATGTGATATTGGTCTTGCTATGTCCTATGTCCAATGGTTACATGAATCATAAATATTATGATGATGACAGCATGCAACAACATTTACATAATTTGTGTATGTCAACAGCTTTAATTGATAATTATTCAATTAGTTGGAAGACTAGCACAGGGTTGGACACTTAATTTTGAGAGCACTCGCCATTTGGGCGTGTAACCATCAAAATGCACTTGCCCAAAAGTTTACCCAACCCCGAGTCCCCCATCTCTCCAACCAATTAGTCATCTTTTATTTTTACTGTTAAATAGCCACTGAAATCTATTTCAACTCTGAAAGGCTATTGATAACTTTTTTCTGGGTGTAAGTTACCTCTGTGGCATTGCTGTGCAGGTAGATGCACTGCCCTCTTCTCTTGATATGAAATCGACTCGGTTTTTTGAAGCTAGTGCAGCCATCAATATAAAACCTAGTTGACTTTAACACATTCTGTGCGACCAAAGATTGTTTGTTCTCCACACACCACTGGCAAATTATACCTTTCTCCTCATCATGTTTTAAACACTCTTGGCCAACTTCCAATTTCGCACATAACTTCCTTGTCCTTATCTTCTCGTATTCCCTCGTATCACTGGCGGCTTTACGTTTTTTTTTTCGTTCTCTTTCTCGTCAACAACTTGAGGAACTTCGAAAATATATTTCCGCATTTCGGCAGCGATCAGTTCACACCATTATTTAACTTACCAAAAGAACACGCATTGATCAGAGTGCTGGTAAATTACAGGAAAATTGCTTGCAATGTCGCCGAGTACGTGGAAGACCCAGGGTTTTATTTCAATGAAAAATTCTAGTTAAAGACCTTCACCAAGAAATCACAATGGAGGCACTTACTTTATATTTCAAACAGTTTTTTTTTCTATTGCTATTGATGAATCTGCGAAAGATCCCTGGATTTGCAAACAAACGTGTCTGTTCTTCTCAGGAGCGGTCCTTGGGTGCCATGTTTACCTGATCACCGATGGCTCGATAGTGACCAGCAGTATCACTTTGTACCAATACATTCGTTTTGTAATTATAACTAGGAGGAAGCCATATTTGTCTATTTTACGAAGTCAAATTGTTGCGTTTCAGCGCTAATTTATAGGACAGTTCTGAATATAAAACTTTGTAAAACAGAAATGGTAAGTTTATGTTTGAGATTTCTTGGCAAAATGGAATGTAAAAGAACATTATTTATTTTGCAACTTAAATAATTTCTTGGCAATGAAAAATGACCTGTGATTTGCCCTCGCCCGACACTTTAAACACTCGCCTGGGCGAGTGGGCGAGTCCCAATGTCCAACCCTGCTAGCAGTTTTCGGTCTTCTAGTATTGCAGCTGTAGTTAAATGTTATGCTAATATAAATGTCAGGCTATTATGCATGACGGGTTTAAAGGATGGTGCTTAATTTGTGTTTATTTTCCAATAGGTGTATGTCCTGTAGTTCCTGATGTTCATTTTAAAGGTTGTCAGACTTTCCTTGATCCTTCCTTCACCAAGGGTAAACAGAATGACTCTAGTCGCACAGGCATCTCCATCCAAGATCTGATTGGTCTGTGTAGTCAGGCTCCATTTGGCAGAGATGAGAAGACGGTTGTCGACAAGACAGTGAGGTCATGCTGGCAGCTGGATCCTGAGAAGTTCACAATTTGCAACACTCCCACATGGAACAAAGCGTTTGCAGAGCTGAAGGCTGCAGCTAGCGGTGTTCTTGCACCTGGACTAAAACCCCACAAAGTTGAACTCAGGCTGTATAAACTGTTGGTGTACGAAGAGGGATCATTTTTCCTGCCACATAGAGACACCCAAAAGACTGAAAACCACTTTGGAACTGTTGTTTTGTCAATGCCGGTGAAGCACAAAGGAGGTGAATTATTTGTGCGTCACAAAGGGCAGGAACGCTGCTATAATTTGGACCCTGGACGGCTGACTGCCAAGTGTCAGTGGGCAGCTTTCTATACTGATGTTGAACATGAAATAAAGGAAATTACCTCTGGACATCGCATTACACTGATTTATCATCTGTACAGGTACAGGTCGCTCTTTTAAAATATTTAATTTGAAATGTGGTTGCTTAAGTAATGGTCCGCTTAAAAAGCAGGCAGAAAAACAATAGCTGTGGCAGTAGCGTCGGTTATTTCTGTGGTGTTAAATTTTTTAATCAAGTTAAATCTGGCTTTTTTCATTGGCCTAAGGAGCTAAAAGCGCGAAATTTGAATTTTAATGACAAATTCAATCGACTTGCAGTCCAAAGGAAAAACAAATTTTATTGTAGGCAAAATACTAATGGCTTCAAAAACTATGTATGTAAATATTGTCGAGATTCTATGCCCCATTTAGCGTAAAATTGAGGTTGTATCTCAACAAGTGTAGCAGGACGTCGGACAGCGACCTGTCATAAAAAATATACCGGTCGGGCTTTCAAGATTCTGATTGAACACAGGCTAGTCGCAGACCAAGCGCACGCGATATTTTGCCGTATAATTTGTAATATTTGTTTACCTATGTAGCATGGCTTCATCAGGAAAACAAAAGTCTTGGGACCAGAATTTTCAAGTCGGCCCATCAGCAAAGTGAAGGGCTTATGTTGTAATCTTATTTCGGTACAATTTGTTCGCCATCAAATTATGACTAGACAAGAACACTACTGTATAAATTAGTCTCTCTTTGATCATGATTTAGTGATTGAAATATATCAATTCATTCTTTTCCTATTTAGAAAAGCCATCTCCTGAAAGTGTATGGGAAAAACAACCTATCCAATAGCAAGTTAAGGCCCTGGACGCCTTATATGCTATGGTTTGTCGACAATGAAATACTATGAAATTGATTTGTATACGATAAGAACTCCGACAAACTGTAATATATAGATTTCAGAGATATAAGGTAAAGATCTCTGCTTTAGATCTCCAGATTGTCGCCAGAGTAGATTTCCTTGATTGCCAATCCAATATGGCGTCACGCTCGGTTCACCACATTTTCGTCTCTTACTTTTGATTGGCGCATAGAACAATGCTCAAACTTGACAGAGAGACCAAGATAAAGGGCATGGGTAAGAATAAGTCCAAAAAAGGCTTTTTTTTTCTATTTTTTCTCAGTTTTTTCCAAGATTTTTTGTTATTAGCCAATCAGATGCCTCAATTTAATTGAAATTAAAAATTAATAGTTCACAGCTTTTAATTACTTTTGCCGATGGCTTGCCTGCTTCTTACACGGACCATTACTTAAAGTTATTGATCAGTAATTCAAAGATGTTTCAGGGTTTTATGGTGCATTAACTTTTTGTATTACTTTTGAGACCTTTTTGAAACATGTAAAATGTCTTTATCACTAATTTAATTTAAATGTATAAAACAAGGACTTTGTTTTTACTTTTCACTGCTTCAGTTTCTTAGCTGTGTAAGAAATTATATTATTCTGACTGGCTATATGAGGGGGTTCTCCTTTGACAATATGAGGGGCATTACTGCTATTTCTTAAAAGTTGCTGTATTTATTGTAACAATTTTTTTCACACCAAATGCCAAGGGTTAGCTGATTATAGCTGACTCATCAGTTTAATAACCTTATGCGATTGTTGACTAGTGATTTAAGAGTGCACGTGTTTCAGAGTAGATAGGTAAAGTCTGCGTTCCATCTAAGAGGCCCATCAGGCTGGAGCTTATCCGATTTCAGTAGCATGAAGCGAGTAGGAGTATTTCTGCTCCTTCCTGGATGGGGTGCTAGTCCATTGCAGGGTGACCCCAGCAGTGAATTTGCCGATA